CAAAACAAGCATACATATAGGGAGTATTAAGTAATGTGCATGGTATGAATAAGGAATTTGGTTTTACAAGTAAAAGTTAGAACTTACGGTTCTTGCAAACATGCATTTTGGTAGAAACAGCAGTAAACGATAGGGAGTATGAGCAAATTAAACAGCAGTTGAGGATAAAGGCTTTAGAAGGACTGACTTACATTAACAGTTAACACCGGCTTTATAATGCTCTTCTCCATGTCAAGGGAAGGATAACTCAAGAATTTCAGCACGTAATCTTCTTCATAAGCATTGCCTGTACTCTACATTTTGTAGAGAGTCATTATAGATATGATAATACTGGAAGGGGTAGAGGATAATGAAGATAAGATGCAGATTGATGCTACATAATCAACTACCAATCCCTGGAAGTACAAGCGTTACATGACAAAATGTACTGACAAGAGCAATGGGCTACACTTCTGCACTGGCATTGTCTGTGTATTCTACTTGTTGGTAAGATTAAATATAGATCTGATCTTTTTTAGTAAATGGTGGGCGAAGGAGATAAGATGCAAAATGCTACAAAATGAACCAATCCCTCTTCCCATAATACAAGAGTGTTTTGAACACTGGTGTACTTTACAAAATGTTCTTATATTATGGGACAGAGGGAGTAGTTGTTAATGTAAGTACAATGATAGACCACGTTCATTCCTTACAAGAGGAGTGCAGAGCTAAACCTATTCAAAAGCATTGGGTTGATTCTAAATTTATGTAAGAGTCCATATGGATCTTATAATGTCCACCAAATGGACGATTACGAGGCTAACATGTGCAGTGATGCTACATAATCAAACAACTATGAAAGTAAGTATGGTCATACAGGACAAGAGGTACTCACAATAGCAATGCAATGTGCAGTATAGTTGCGAGATTCTGTGGTCCCTTGAGAACGAATTTTCTTCTGCTAACAGTTTTCATACAAGTGAGACATTAAGGCAAATGCAGAAATGTAGTTCAAATTGTGATGTGATATCATAGACAGTACCTTATGCTGCAGCCGATACCAATATGTACCAAGATTATTCCAGTCACCGTCGGATAAATGTAGCTCCGGAGACTTTGCAGAAATTTCGTTCAGAGGCTTGCCATTGAAGTGCGCTTGCCTTAGGTAGGAACGATACTTCGTCAACGAGTGCTTGAAAAGCGCAACCAACTCTTCTGTCAGCAGAAACATATGCAGTAATGACCATGAATAACATTAGTACATTACTTACGCGTAAGTTGCGGAGGAAGACTGAAAATTGTTCTGTGTCTGCGGTATAATCTTTCCATGAAGGAAATATGCGCACAAAGTTCCTGACAACAACATAAGTTTCGTCTTCTAAACTGGGAAGAAATGGAACAGGGGTCCTATTTGCTGCAATTGGGGCTCTCTCTGGTTAGAAAAGGGATTTGGCAACTGGATTTGGTGTACTCTTTGCTGGAATGGGGGTTTTGCGTCGTACAGCTGGTGCTATGTCAACTAGCATAATCATACTGTTTGCTGTAGTTGGGGTCTGCTGAGTTGGGGCATCAGAAATGACCTGTGTAGTAGGGCTAGAGTTTGCTAGAGTTTGGGTGTTTTGTGCATCAGTTGATATTGCAACTACACCTAATGTGCTATTTGATTTATCAGGTGCCACTACCTTTCCCAAATATTTTGCTTGTGCTCCTCCACGATCAGCAATCACCCTCTTCCTTTTGAACGTCTGATACACAAGAACAACATTTGAATGGATAAATATGGTATGATGACAGATGGAATATGTACTGAAAATGGATAGGCAGGGCGTATTCACATACACGATGTGTAAACTAAGCTAATGGCAGTTCAACAAAGTAGAAGCAATGCCAAGCATCAGTTGCGAGATATGTGCGAGCAATGTAACCTTGGAAAGTTAGACCAAGTACCTTGATGGGTGAATAAGATAGGGCATCTTCCTCTGACACCTCCACTAGGGAGCTATATTGACTTAGGTCTCCCTCTAGCTCAGAATCACTATTAGGATCATATTCTGAGCATGAATCTGTAGGTGGAGAGCGTTTGCATTGCATTTCATCCAGACTTGATTTCAGTCCCTTAATGCCAAGTTTGACAGCCATGGCATTGTTCTGCTTTATTCTTTTCATGCGCGCAAGCTCATAATCATTATGATGTTGTTCAGAATATGAGATTCATGAAAACATAAGAAGTAGTCAGAATTGTAACTGCAGTAAGAGACCACCCTAAAAGAATATTGACAACAAATATGACAAGTCAAGCATAGATGTAGTGAATCAATCATTTACTTGTGAGCTTACTAGGACAAGTATGCAGAATTATAACTGCAGTAAGAGGCCGTCCAAAAACTGAATGAAGAATTTTGTTTAGCACTTATTGTTTGCAACTAATCGACGTGAATAATTGGATATTATATCGAATGAGTAAGAAAGACAAGTAAAATTGTCAACAAACCTGGCTTGCAGTAGTAATCTGGGTCAATGTCACTACGACCAACAATCCAAAATGACTAGTGTATGTTTATTCTGTGTGTTAATCTCAGGTTTTCGTAATGATGCCTAAGCGAAGAGGTGGAAGGGATAAAGATATGATCTCTCATAGTGAATGTCTGAATAGTATTCAAGCAGAACCTGATGTTATCTCAATGTCTTTTGTACCTATTGCTTCATTGTTAAATGGAGTTCCTGGTAGTGGATTTCTGAATCATGCAATTAATTTGTATCTTGGTTGTAAGTATAAATTCCACCCTTTCCAGCTTGCTGGATAATTTATTCATCTCTCAGCTCTTAACCTCTAAACATGAAATGTTGAAAGTTGAAACTGCATAATTTGTAATAATATCAAGAGAAGTCTTGACCTTCCGCCCTAGTACTTTAGTTGCATGTTAGTTTTGATTATTTTAGAATAAAGTTACTCTTTGTCTTTCTCACTGTTTTTCCCTACATGTTCCTTATCATTGATTTATAATCCCTCAGTTCCTAAATATAAATCTTTTTAGAGATTTTGATACGGACTACATACGGATGTATATAGACGTAGTTTAGAGTATAGATTCATTCATTTTGCTCCTTATGTAGTCCATATTGGAATGTCTAGAAAGATAAATATTTAAGAACGAAGGGAGTAGTTCATGATAGTGACTGGAGTTAGGGTTATAGGACAAGAACTTGTGTTTTTCTCGATGTATTTGGGTGTAAGTTTTCTGAAGTCTATTCAGGACTTTAGAACCTGCACCCTTGGCCACCTTATTGTTTAGATTCTTGGTCAAACAGGAAAGGGAGCTGGCTTCTTTCTTTCACAAACAAAGTCCCTATTGTTTAGATTCTAAGGACATGGTCTTCTTGGGCAATATTTATTAGAAAATAGTTGTCCTTTATAGCTCCGTTCACCGACTTTACTCCCTGTATATTATCTGTTGGGCAAAAATACTACTCTGGGTGTTTTCAGTCATAAATTTCAAGGGAAATCTCTATTTAAAGTAATGTTTGAATTGTCCCTGTATATTATCTGTTGGGCAAAAATACTACTCTTGGTGTTTTCAGTCGTAAATTTCAAGGGAAATCTCTATTTAAAGTAATGTTTGAATTGCAACCTTTTGACGCTACATGTTTGTTGCCATCCTATCATTAAGTCATAAACAAAAAATCAAGCTAGCGAACATGGTTTTGCACAGCAAACAATGTGATAGTTGATGTATTCATAACAAGGTGATATATTTGAATTTCTTACAGATAAGCCCCTAATTGAGGAATTGCACCAGTTTTTGGCGTTCCAGCTTACAAGGCAGTGGGCGCCAGTTTATAGTGACCTCCCTCTTGGTCCCCGGAGGAAAACGCAAATCAGTGCATCTTTGCCAGTAAATTTTATTGGTCCAACACTTTATGTTTGTACCAACATGGTATGCACACTTTTTCTATTGTCATAACTGAAACATTGTTCATCTTTATATTTCCTTGTTTTTATCCTTTTTATGTGGTTTCATGATCTTGTAAACTTAAGCATCACCATGGAAAGTAGACATAGGTTAGGATAAGTTTTGAAGATAAAATTTTCCTTATTTATGCGGCCATTCAAATTCTCATTCTTCTGTGCAGAGAATTTATAGTGCTTATCTTTCCATAAACAACCTGATCGCTAGAGTAGACAGTTGATCTATTTGACGACCAGCTAATTCTCTTATATGTTGCAACTCAGAACTGAAGTCAGATCACATGGCTAGATAACTATGAACCAATTATTACTCAAGAGTAGAGGGATAAGATAATGCATTTCCCGAGTGAAAACAACGGCACAAAGGGTATAAGATGTGGTAAATACTTATAAAAATAACTGGATGAAAAGTTAATTGGGAAAACTCTAGTGTGCAATTGTGAAGCGCAAAAACCTGAAACTGGAAAGATATTTTAGCCCAGTACTCTTTTAATCCAACCTTCGTGGCTATCAAACTGGAAGTGCCGGTATTCTATTCGGCATTACATCAATCACATTTATCTGTACCTATGGATGGGAGGATCGACTATTGCTAGTTACATTTGGGAATGATGCAAACAGCAGTAGCAGGGCATATTTAGATTCTGTCAAATTGATAATTTAGATATTTTTAAATTCCTTCATGAACTAAGTATTATTACGAGTTGTCGATCAAGAGATCACACTGCATACAGAATATACAAGATTATTATACTGACAATTTCCATTCACTTGGGGGGTTTGGTGATATATTTGTGGATTTTTTTTCCATCGTTTGAGCAGCTTTTTAACTTTGGTGCAAGTTGACGTGGGAAAAAGACCGATCACAGGACTCCGGTTGTTTCTTGAAGGAAAGAACAGTAACAAATTAGCTATCCATCTTCAGCACCTCTGTTCCCTTCCTCGGGTTATCCAGCTTGAAGATGACCCAAACAACAGCCGAACTCCAGAACCATTTGACCATAGATACTTTGAACCAATAGGATCATGGAAGCACTTCTCCCACGTCTGCACAATGCCAGTGGAGTCAGAGGATGCCTCCATCGTCACCGGAGCACAGCTAGAAGTGATCAACCAGGGCTTCAAGAAGATACTGTTCCTCCGGCTGCACTTCTCCAAAGTCGTGAACGCCTACCCTGTCAGGCAGCCCGAGTGGGAGGGGTCCCCTAACCTGATCCAGAAGTCGGGTCTCATCTCGACGCTCATCAGCACACACTTCTCCACTGCGGTGCAGAAGCCTATGCCCCGGCCCTCCGACGTGAACATCAACTCCGACGCGAACATCAACTCGGCGGTGTACCCCAGTTCCCCGCAAGCGCCCGTGCAGCCACCGAAGCTGCTCAAGTTTGTGGACAGGACGGAGATGGCCCGAGTGCCACAGGACCTGCCGGGGTACTGGGTGGTGTCGGCCGCCAAACTGCACCTTGAGAGGGGCACGATATCCCTGCGGGTGCGCTACTCGCTCCTGAAGTCCTTGCCGCCCGACGATGAGGAGTACGCGCTTGACTAGGAGTTCTAGGATCCCCGGGAAAACGAGCAGAGTGAAACAACCTCAGTTGCCATCCCTTCATTTGTTATATGCAGCTGACCGTGAGGTGGCGGACGGGCGAAAGATTTAGAGTTTTGGTAGCATCCATGCTCTTGCTGTTGGTTTCTTTTTGTATACAACTGTGGGTTTTTCGCAGTAATGAGTGCTGTGTCCTGAAATATCGAGGGAGAAAAGGAAAAATTGTTGTTTGTGGCGTGGACTTGAGTTGAATAGGTTAGGTGACAGATCAAATTATTTGTACATATACAAATGCTACAGGGAAACTGTTTTGAATAAGTTGAGGCTTCTGTCTATTCATCGCCCGTCTGATTTTTATTTCAGTTCAGGTCGAATTTTTTGTCCTATACCTTGTTTACACGTGTCTTGCATTTTTATTTCGTTTGTGCGATCAGTCGCTTTTGCTTCATGGGATCAGTACTACCCATTCGCGCCTGCTGCATTTTTCTACTCCTGCCATATCCTGACGGGCCAGTTTTCCAACCCGTTCAGAAATGAGTGCCTGGGCCAGTTCAAAAATGGAAGTGGATAAAAAAGTGTAGCATGCTCAAGGAAAAGTTGACCTTCCCCACCACCCCCATGTCACAGCCCTAGAATTTGTTTGCAACGGTTGCATCAGGGAGCATCCATGCATCATGTTTAAATTCAAGAAACTTGAATTGAGGAAATTCGAAAGCCTCAAAATTTTAATTAAAAGAAGGGCAAATAACCCTGGAAAATGCATCCAATTTTTCCAGAATAGTCTTCAATGATGTTTAATATTTTTGGCAAGAGTTTTGGTCCAAACCAAAAATATGGAACTTTTTTTAGGAATTATTTTGGCCATTTGGATTTAAGTAAATAAATAAATATTTCAGTTGGATTTAATTCTTATATAAAAGAATTGCAAGTCCAAAAATTCTGAAAATTTGTGAGTGGCTCTTAATATATTGTATCTAGCCACATAATTATTTCCAGAAGCTAAAAAAATTAGTTTGGTTTGAAAACCAAATTAAAATAAACTGCAGGAAAAGGAAAACAGACAGAAAAATAATAAAAAGCAGAAACCCACCTGGGCCACCTACCTGACCTCACCTGGCTTGGCCCATCTGGCCACCACACCTCCTTCAACCTCGTGTCAGTAGGCATGAGGGCGTGGCGCACGCACAGGAGGCGAAGCCACCCCCTGCTTCCACCTCCTGCTTCTCCCCGAGCCTCTGCCTCGCGCCATGGGGACGCCAAGAGGACCCTCTCTCCTCTCCCTCTCTCGTTGCCCTCTCTTCCTCCCTCTAGAGCTAGTGCACGCGACCACCCGAGCGCTCCCGCCGGCCACCTCGTCCTGCCCGCGCACCCACTGACGTTCCCGCTCCAAGGGAGTATGCCCAGATGCTCCGTCTTCCTGCGCTACCTCTCCACCTCGATGCACGCAAGGCCTGGAGCAGCGGAACGCCGCCACCGTCGCCGTCTTCAACCTCGGGTCACCGAGATCCGCCTCGTCCCCCGCTCGCTCCGACGCCTCCCCGGCCCCTCCGTCTGCACTGTCCGATTCGCCGTGAGCCAATGACCCTCTCCCCTCCTTCTTTTCCTTCGCGTGCGTCCCGTAGCCGCTGCCCCGTGAGCACCCGAAGCCGTCGTCCACCATGGCCGCTGCTCAAGCTGCTCCGCCTCCGCGTCCTCCTTGAGCCCTGCTGCTGTCTGCCGTGCTTCTGGAGCACTCTAGTTGCTGCGCCGCTGCTCGCCTTGCTCGCCCGAGTGCTCTAGCCCTCGCAGCCACAACCACCACCGCTCCGGCTGCCGCCATAGCTCATCGCCGGGATTGATTCCGGTCACCATACGCCCAACCGCTGCCACCACTAGATGCGCGCGAGTGCCAGCAAGCCGTAGCAACGAACCGCGCTCAAAACGGAGCCCCATAGCATTTTTCCGACGCGCTCCGCCGCCGGTTTGGTCATCGCCGGCCTAACTCCGGCGACTGCCGACGTGACAGTAATTAACTTAGGTTTAATTACCTTTTAGTCCACCCCTTAGTCACTGACTAGTGGGCCCTAGGCCGTAATGCTTTAGTTAGGTTTTTTTTCGAGAGTACGCTAATGGCGTACCATATTTTTATAGAAGAGAGCAAACATAATTACA